GAGGAATGTTAACGCACACGCATGTGTATATATTTATGTATACATGCATGTGCACACAAACATATATATATATATATATATGTCTATATATATAGACATATAAGTATATACCGATATATTTACATAAATACATCTATGCATACACGCATACATACATGTATAGATTTCTGCATCTAAATCTAGTCAATGTCCACCGCCTGCCGAGGGTCTCAAAGATCGATCCCAGCGGCGGTGGTGGTTGTCGATGAAACAGTCCCCGTCGTCGTCGGCGATGTCCTAATGACGGTTTGCGTCGTCTCCGTCGAGGAGCGAGTCCTCGCCTCGCAGAAGGGCGAGGCCCGTCCCAGGGCGCTCGCGACCCGATTGGAACCCGGAGTTGGGAGCACGAACCTCTGGAGGTCAGGGTGTCGGACATACGCAGAGACAAACAGAACAAGCTCGAGGCAAACAGAAAGAAGCAACGAGAAGCACCGAGAACCAGCAGGACACAGCGACTGATAGAGGTAAGGAGGGAGGTTGGAACACTAGCCTTCTGGAGGTTCGAGCTTCCTGTTTCTGAACCGCTCTCCACATACAAGGGGACAGATAACCCAATTGAATGGAACAGACAAGCAGAAAGAACCAACGAGAAATAGACAGAAACAGCGGCAACGCGATATAAATAAGGAGGTTGAAACACTAACCTCTGCAGGGTAGGGTTTCTATTTCGGGACTTCCCTCCCCATACAAAGGAACTTCGCCTGGCGAAGGACCCAACCATATGCAGTTGTGACTACCGCAGTTGCGGGTATCGCCTTCGGTGGAGAGGGTGGGGAGACGCATGTGGACGCCGCCGCTGGGGCCTCATGCGGAGCTCCCTATGTGGCCACGAAGCGTTCTGCCCGGTCGGGAGGGGACGCATGTGGACACTATCATTAGGGCTCTCGGTGGAGCTCCCTATGGGGCCACGAAGCGCTGCGCTGGGTGGGGGGGACGCATGTGGACACCGCCGCTGGGGCCTTAGGTGGAGCTCCCTAGGGGGCCACGAAGCGCTGCGCTGGATGGGGCAGACGCATGTGGACACCGCCACTGGGGCCCTCGGTGGAGCTCCCGATGGGGCCACGAAGCGTTGCGCTGGGTGGGGGAGACGAATGTGGATACCGCCGCTGGGGCCTTAGGTGGAGCTCTCTATGGGGCCATGAAGCGCTGCGCTGGGTGGGGGAGACGCTTGTGGACACCGCCACTGGTGCCCTCGGTGGAGCTCCCGATGGGGCTACAAAGCGTTGCGCTGGGCGGGGGAGACGAATGTGGACACCGCCGCTGGGGCCTTACGCGGAGCTCTCTATGGGGCCAGTGGGGGAGACGCGTGTGGACACCGCGACTCCTATGGGGCACGAAGCGCTGCGCTGGGTGAGGGGGATGCATGTGGACACCGCCTCTGGGGCCTCAGGTTGAGCTCCCTATAGGACCACGAGGCGCTGTTCTGGGTGGGGGAGGCGCATGTGGACACCGCCGCTGGGGCCTTAGGTGGAGCTCCCGATGGGGCTACGAAGCGCTGCGCTGGGAGGGTAGACGAATGTGGACACCGCCGTTGGGGCCTTAGGTGGAGCTCCCTAGGGGGCCACCATGCGCTATGCTGGGGGTGGGGAGTTGGGGTGGGGCGCATGTGGACACCGCCTCTGGGGCCCTCGGTGGAGCTCGCTATGGGGCCACGAAGCGTTGCGCTGGGTGGGGGCGACGCATGTGGACACCACCGCGGTGTAACTCCCGATGGAGTCACGAAGCGCTGCGCTGGGTGGGGGGGGCGCATGTGGACACCGCCTCTGGGGCCCTCGGTGGAGCTCGCTATGGGGCCACGAAGCGCTGTGCTGGGTTGGGAGGGGACGCATGTGGACACCGCTGGTGGGGCCTTAGGTGGAGCTCCCCAAGGGGCCACGAACTCTGTGCTGAGTGGGGCGGACGCGTGTGGACACCGCCGCTGGGGCTTTAGGTGGAGCTCCCTCTGGGGCCGCGAAACGCTGTGCTGGGTGGAGGGGGCAGGGGCACTGATTGGTGGAGGGAGAAGGGAGAAGGGAGGAGGAGGGGGAGAAAGGAGAGGAGAGACGCGGGGGGGTGTCTTTTCAAAGCGAGGACTTTGCACCACAGGATGGTTGGGAAATAGGGACAAACTAAATAACATTTATGTCACCGGAGGGAAACCCAAATCAGTGGATGGTTTGAAAATTCGTAGTATGGATATTGAGATTGATTGTGAGACCGATCGTGGGATCGATAAAGAGGACGACTGTAAGGTCGATCGTGAGACCGATACTGAAGTCGATTCAACGAGAACGATAGTGAGATCGATCGTGTGATCGATCGTGAGATCGATAGTAAGATCGATAGTGAGACCGATTGTGAGATCGATTGTGAGATCGATTGTGAGATCGATAGTGAGATCGATAGAGAAATTGGTCATGGGATCCATGGCGAGACCAAGCGATAAGAAGACCGACCCGGAACCCAGAAACCTGGGAACCCCGCCGCTTACCGAAATCGGCCCGGAATCGGGAATTAAGAACCTGGGAACCAGGGAACCAATAAACGGGAACCCGGGAACCCGGGAACCCGGAACCGGGAACCCGGGAACCCAGCCTGCTGCCAAAATCGGCGGGAAATTCTAGCCAAATCTTTCGATTTCCGCTGGGACCCCGTCAGTGCAAGCATTGGATAGTGAGATCTATAGTGAGATCGATAATGAAATCGATAGAGTAAGTAATGAGATCCATGGCGAGACCGAGCGATAAGAAGATCGACCAGGAACCCAGAAACCTGAGAACCCCGCCGCCCACCGAAATCGGACCAGAATCTGGAACCAGGAACCTGGGTACCCGGGAACCCGGAACCGGGAACCCGGGAACCCAGCGTGCGACCACAATCGGCGGCAAATTTTCGCCAATGAAAATTATAGTCATATGGATCTTGAGATTGATTCTGAGATCGATGATGAGATCGATAGTGGAATCGATAGAGGACGTTTGTAAGGTCGATCATGAGACCGAGAGTGCAATCGATTCAATGAGATCGATCGGGAGATCGATCGCGAGATCGCTCGTGCGATCTCTAGTGAGATCGCTTGCGAGATCGATTGTGAGAGCGATTGTGAGATCGATGGTGAGATCGATAGAGAGGTGGGAAATGAGATCGGTGCTGAGACCGACCGATAAGAAGGTCGACAAAGAACCCAGGAACTTGGGAACCTCGCCGCCCACCGAAATCGGCCCGGAAACCGGGAACCCGGGAACCCGGAACCGGGGACCCGGGAACCAGCGTGCGACCAGAATCGGCGGGAAACTTTCGCCAAATCCTTCAACCTCCGCTAGGACCCCTTCGTTGCAAGCACTGATTGGGGAACTTCCGCCAGGACCCCTTCAGTGCAAGTACTGATTGGGGAATACAGACGCACATAAGGAAGCAACGAGAAACACCGAGAAACAGTGAGAAACAACGATTAGCATAGCTTAAGAGCGAGTTTAGAACACGAACTTGTTCGGGTTATCTTGTTTTGTAGTTTCCTTCCCCATGCAAAAGGAATTTATAGACAAACATACAACAAGTGATAATCAGAAGGAAACATCGGGACACGATGACAAACAGAGAGATAAAGAGGGAGTATGGACTCCGCAGGTTGCAACACTAGCCTCCAGAGGTGAGGGTTTCCTACTTCGGAACCTCCCTCCTCATCCACAGGAAACATATACAAACATAAGGAGGCAGAGACAGACAGGACAGAAAAAAACACATCGAAGCAACTAGCGACAAAGACAAATAAAGAGGGGTGTTGGAACACGAACCTCTGGAGGTTGGGTTTTCCTACCTCGGAACCTCCGTCCCCATGAAAGCGAAAATGGAGGGAAACAGACAGTAAAACAAACGGGACACAACGAGAATCAGCGATGGTTATGTGGTGCCCGCGACCTTGTGGATCGCGTGGATGCGCTCGGCGCCGAAGTTTTCGTGGCAATGTCAAACCGTACGAGACGCCCGCGCTGAGGATTTCGTTGCACTCCTGCTCCCTTCGTGGAACTCGCGGGTTCGCTCGGTGCCGAGGGTTGCGTGGCCTTTTGACGAATGCGACTCGCGCGGATGCGCCGAAGGTTTCGTGGCACTTTGAAACAACGTGAGACCCTGTGGGACGCGTTGCTGGGCCCCGCGTTTTGAGAGCGTGTGAGGCGCAAGGATGACCTCGGCGCCGAGGGCTTCGGGGTACTTTGACACCGCTTGAGGCCGCCATCGGGGCTCACTGGTTGTGAAATGTTGTGCCGCGCATACAGGGGTTGACACCTATCCCACATCCGCGTGCTTAATTATTAAGGCCACCGCCCAGGCGCCGCAAGCGCCGCAGACATTGGGTTACTTGTTGGGCCCGCGTCGGCTCGGCGTGCGCGCAGCGCCCGATCTGATTGCACGAGGCTGTCTTGGATATGATGCGCACGCCAATGCCGCACAATGAAGAGTGCGCACGCCAATGCCACACAAAGCACACGTCGAGTTACAATGTTGCCGCAACCGCGCTTAATTATAACCCAATATTTGTTACGCTTCCCAATTTCTATTATGTTTCCTGTTCGCGTTCTTGTTTTCTTCGTGACTACCTATGCTTCTTGTTGCCACTCGTTCCATTCATAGGTTTCCCTGTGGTTCCTTCTGTGCGGGTACGCTCGCCACTCGGAAGCCCTGACCTGCGGAGGTTCGTGTTCCAACCTCCTTATCTGTTTTGTTTCGCGTAGGCTCCGAGGCAGCAACCTCTGGAGGCCCGTGCTCCAACATCCCGGTTCCAAGATCACCACCCACCAAACCAGCCCAACCCAAGCCGAAGGCCTCAATTTGCCTTCCATTTCCAGGGGGGGGGGGTCGGGGAACATGGAGAAAGCACACATAATTATGGAAGCCGTACCCCTCCCAACCCGAAATTCGGGTCTTCGGGTTGGGCTGGGGTGGTCTGGTAGGTAGTCAATCTCCGCGACCCCCTCCCGCGGCAGGCCGGGAGCAGGGGCGGGCAGTCCGCGGACGCCGTGCGGCCGGAGGAGCAGGGGGCCGCCGGCCCCTGCAGCCCGAGGGCAGGCGCTCGATGCGCGCGGCCTCCTTCGCGCCCGTGCGGGAGGAGGGAGGAGGAGGAGGAGGAGGAGGAGGAGGAGGAGGAGGAGGAGGAGGAGGAGGAGGAGGAGGAGGAGGAGGAGGAGGAGGAGGAGGAGGGAGGAGGAGGAGGAGGAGGAGGAGGAGGAGGAGGAGGAGGAGGAGGAGGAGGACCTTTTGGACCCTTTGACCAAGCACGGAGGCGTGCGCGAGAAACAGAGAGAAAGAGAGAGAGAGAGAGAGAGAGAGAGAGAGAGAGAGGAGGGAGGAAAGAGGGGAGGAGAGCGAAACGATCGCCCGAGCCAGGGAGTCCACCTGCCGCAACAGTCAAACACCCCGGACCTGCGCAAGCCAGCCTACGACCCTCCAGACGGAGGGAGGTGCACTGACCCCGCAGAGGACGCGGCCGAATCACCCACCTCGGCGGGCAAAACAGGCCCCGCCAAGAAGTCGCGCACATCAAGGGCGCGTTGCAGGGCCGCTGGTACCCCTTCACGCTGGGGGAACAGGCCTGCCTGGATGCGCGAGAAATTATCGCGCCCCTTGCGTGACGGCTCACACTTGGCGGCAAGCTGTTTGCCGTCCACTGTGCCGTACTTCCCACAGGCAGAGCAAAACGTGAGCATATACTTTTCCCACCTCTGAGGCGTGTGAGGGGGATGAATAGCGCGGCCGCCTACGAGATCTGAACTTGCACCCGGCGCAAACTCGCCTGACGCATGGGCGCCCTTGCAAACAGTGGCGGCCGCGCGGATCGCTCTGGACAGTGGGGCAATCATGGGGCAGCTGCTGCATTTCCATTTCATCCCACAACGAACGAAAGTCTGCTCAGACCTCGCAAGGACCAGTTTCAGGGCAGACGGGGCGGGGCGTCGCTCCTGCCGCTGCCGCGCTCCACTCCATGGGTTGGCAGCAGCGGCGAGGGCAAGAGCGCGGCGCGCTCTCGCACGGACCAGGGTGGCCACCGCATCCCAGTGGTCAGTGCGAGGCTCGACTTGACGGATAGACTCCTCCCACCCCCGCTGCGCCGCCGCACCCGCCTCTTCATCAGCTAGGGCGTTGCCCTGAATTAGATACAGGTCCACCTGGGCTGCTCCTTCGGGAGCCTTGTCCAAGTGAGAGGGGACCCACTTCAAATGCACATCGGTGGCCCGAGATTTGAACCCAACGCGGATCCTCGACCACAGATCTTGGTTGGCGCCATTTTTCAGAAACTGCCGACCGCTATTCCAAGCCTTGACCAGAGGCTGGTGGTCCGTGACAAACAACATAGCTTGCTGGACGTGTTCCAAGGCGAGCGCGAAGGCGAGCAACTCTGAACGAGGAACGGTTTGCCTCCTACCCCCGACTCCGGTAGACACGCCACCGGCAATTTTCCAGCCCCCTCGACCGTCAGCCTGCGTAGTGACAATGGCCGACAATGGCCGAGGAGGAGGAGGAGGAGGAGGAGGAGGAGGAGGAGGAGGAGGAGGAGGAGGAGGA